TCTAAATGCAATATAGTAGCATCGATTCCATCTTGGAACAGAAAGAGGATACTAGTGGGAATACTTGTGAAATCCTTTTATAGTGTATAGCTTAGTTAACTTTTTCGTTTTATACTATGGACCTTGGTTCTGTTAACGTTAGAGGAAACTGGGTGAAGGGTATACTAGAATTCTATTATCTTTGAACTTTTCTTTTTTTTTTTTATCCTCACCCGAGGATATTTTTTCCATTTTTTGTACAGATAGAGTGGGAGGGAGAGAGAGGAAGGGAGAGAGAGTGAGAAACATCGATGTGAAGGGACACATCGAGTGGCTGCCACCCGCACGACCAACCAGGGCTGGGGACAAACTGCAACCGAAGTACGTGCCCTTAGCAGGAACCGAACCCGGGTCTCTCCGGACTGCAGGCCGACGCTCTAACCACTGGACCAAACTGGCCAGGGCATCTTTGAACTTTTCTATAAGTCTAAAATTATTTCAAAATAAGTTAGACTTCGTCAAAGTTAGAGACTTTCATATATCAAAGGATACTATTCAAATGACTGAAAAAATTCCACATAAAGTGAGAACGTATTTGCAAATCACGTATCTGATAAGGGATTAACACCTAAGGAACACATATAACAGTAACAGGAAAAACCCAATTTAAAAATAGACAAAAGACTTGAATAGACATTTCTCTGAATATATACAAATGACCAATAAGCACATGAAAAGATGCAAAAATGACAAGTGTTGGTGAGGATGTGAAGAAATTGGAACCTTTGTGTGTTTCTGGTGGGAATGTAAAGTGGTACAGCTGCTGTGGGACATAGTTTAACAGTTTCTCAAAAAATTAAATATAGAATTATAAATATAAATATGTAATCCAGCAATTCCATTCTTGGGTATAAACCAAAAGAATTGAAAGCAGGGATTCAGACAGGTACTTGTACACCAGTGTTCATAGCAGCATTATTCACAATAACAAAAACAACCAGTAGGTGGAAACAACCCAGGTGTCCATTAACAGATGAATGGATAAAACAAATGTGGTATATACTAGCCCAGGCTGGTGTGGCTTGGTTGGTTGGATCATTGTCCCCTACACCAAAAGGTGGTGGGTTTGATTCCCAGTCAGGGCACATACCCAGGTTTTGGGTTCGATCCCTAATTGGGGTGCTTATGGGAGGGAGGCAACTGATCGATCTTTCTCTCCCTTTCTCTAAAATCAAGAAAAAGGTAAACATATCCTTGGATGGATTTTAAAAAAATTTTTAATGTGTATACCATACATACATACATATTCAGCTATAAGAAGGAATGAAATTCTGTTATATTCTACAACATGGATGAACCTTGAAAACATGCTAAGTGAAATAAGTCTGACACAAAGGGATATATATGATTCCACTTAAAAGAAGTACCTAGAACAGGCAAATTAATAGAGATAGAAACTAGAGTAGGGATTGTAGTGTGGGGAGTTACTGTTCAATGAGTACGGAGTTTCTGTTTGAAATGATAAAAAGGTTCTGGAAATAGTGGTGATGATTGCACAATGTTGTGAGTGTACTTTGTGCCGCTGAATTGAACACTTAAATGATTAAAATGGTAAAAATTTTGTTCTATATATTTTACAATAAAAATGGTTTAGAAAAATACACAAAATAAATTTTAAATGTTTTTTTTTTCCTTTATTGATTTTTAGAGAGAGAGGAAGGGAGAGGGAGAGAGAGAAACATCAGTGAGAGAGAATATCGATTGGCTGCCTCCTGTATGTCCCCCACTGGGGATTGGGCCCATAACCTGGGCATGTACCCTGACTAGAAATCGAACCAGTGACCTCTTGTTGCGTGGGTCAATGCTCAATCACTGAGCCACACTGGCTGGGCTAAATGTTTATTTTAAAATGGTCTATCCAGCCCTGGCCGGTTTGGCTCAGTGTTTAGAGTGATGGCCAGTGGACCAGAGGTCCTGGGTTCAGTTCCCGCTAAGGGCACGTACCTTGGTTGCAGATTGTCCCCGGCCCTGGTTGGGGTCGTGTGGGTTCATGTGGGTGGCAGCCACTCTATGTGTCTCTCTCACGTCGATATTTCTCTCTCTTCCTTCCTCTCTCCCTCCTGCTCTGAGGATAAATGCAAAAATGTCCTCAGGTGTGGATAAAAAAATAAAATAAAAATAAAATGGTCTATTCAGCCCTGACTGGTTTGGCTCAGCAATTAGAGCATCGGCTCGCAGACTGGAGGGTTGCGGGTTCAATTCTGGTCAAGGGCACATGCCTCGGTTGTTATTCGGTCCCCAGCCCTGGTCGGGGTCGTGCATGAGGCAACCAATCAATGTGTTTCTCTCACATGGATGTTTCTCTCACTCTCTCTGAAAATAAATGGAAAAATATCCTCAGGCGAGGATTTATAAAAATTAAAATAATAAAGTAAAAAAAAATGGTCTATCCAGTGTGGTTTTACTTTTCATATTTCATTATGACTGAGATAGAGCATCTTTTCAAATATAAATCATTTATATTTCTTTACTGTGAATTCTGTTCCTTTTTCCTTTTCTTATACTTTTCCCAGTTTATTGTTTGACTTGGCTTATGATGGTTTTTGTTTTTTCCAAGTAAATGTGTTTTATTTTCATGTAGTCAGATTTAATCCATCTTTTCTTCCATGGTTGTTGGATCTGTGTCATAGTTTTCCCCATTTCAAGATTATTAAGGAATTAATCCTGTTTTTTCTTCTACTTTTTTTTTTTATCCTCACCCAAGGACATTTTTCCATTTTTTGTTCAGATAGAGTGGGAGGTGGAGAGAGAGAGAGAGAAACATCAATGTGAAAGGGACACATCGAGTGGTGCCCCCAGTGGGAACCGAACCCTGGTCTCTCTGGACCGCAGGCTGACGCTCTAACCGCCAAGCCAAACCAGCCAGGGCTTTTTTAATATTTCATTTCTTTCATTTAAATCCTTGACCCATTTCAGCCCAGCTGGAGTGTCTCGGTTGGTCACTTGGTTGAGTGTCATCCTGTGCACCGAAACGTTTTGGGTTTTATCCCGTTGGAGCATGTACAGAAGGCAACCAATAGACGTTTCTCTTTCACATCAATGTTTCTCTCTTTCTCCCTTCCTCTCTCTAAGCGTGTCCTCAGGTGAGGATTAAAATCAAATCAATCATTGACCCATTTCAAGTATATCGTGGTTTATATGTGTGAAGTATAGTCATTCATAAGATCTTGCACATGTCTATGTAGTTAATTTTCTCAATGGAGTTATACTTGGGATCTTCCTATTTTCTAAGCAGTAGTTCTCTGAATACAGGCCAGGTATTTATTTCTGCATATTAATTTTGTACCCAGCATTCGTACTGCTTTGAAATCATTTTTTAGTTGATTCTCTTAGACTTTGCAGGCATATTCTATCATTGACAAATAATGGTGATTTTACTTTCTCTGTTCCAACTTTTAATCTCTTTTCTTCATTCCTTTGTTTAGTTGTTTTAGCTAGTATCTTAGAAGAATGTTAGTAATATTATTGATAATAGATATGCTCGTGTTGTTCCTGACCAGATTGGGCTCCTGCTAATAGTAGTCTGTGTGGTTTGTTTTTCCTTGTTTTAAGTAAACATGTATTTGTTGCTCTTAAAATACTTTTCCAATCATTTATTTTTTTTCTCACCTGAGGACATTTTCAATATTTTGTTCAGATAGGGTGGGGGGGGAGAGAGAGAGAGAAACATCGACATGAAAGGAACAAACTGCAACCAAGGTATGTGCCCTTAGTGGCAACTGAACCCAGGTCTCTCAGGACTGCAGGCCGACACTCTAACCGCTAAGCCAAACCGGCCAGGGCTCAATCATTATTTTATCCAAAAACATTATTGGGCACCTACTGAGTACGAGGCACTAAGCTAAGCTTTGGGGACTGGGGCAGTAAACCAAATGGGTGTGGTTCTTTAATTTCCCAGGACTCACAGTCAAGTAATTTTTTTTTCTTTTTTCTTTTTTTATCCTCATCCGAGGACATTTTTCTGTTTTTTGTTCAGATAGAGTGGGAGGGAGAGAGAGAGAGAAACATCGACCTGAAAGGGACACATCGAGTGGCTGCCTCTTGCATGACCCAACCAGGGCCGGGGACAAACTGCAACCGAGGTACGTGCCCTTAGTGGGAACTGAACCCAGGTCTCTCTGGACCGTAGGCCGATGCTCTAACCGCTGAGCCAAACTGGCCAGGGCACAGTCTAGTAATATTTAAGTTGAAGAAATATACATTAAATCAACTTTGTGATAATTACTTTACAGTTATTTCAATAGGAAAAGTTTTAATGCAACAGCTGCTGGTGCTAACAAGATGACTGAAACACAGGCAGGGCAGCACAATACCTGATGAGGCCGAGAGAGGTCGGCAGGGACCTTGGCCTGCAGGACCCTGCAGACTTTGTAGGACTTTGGTGAGCATTTTGGTGTTTTAGCCTGAGAATAAAAGGGAGCCACTGAAGGGAGCAATTCGATTGGGCTCAATTGGCTCAGCACTTGCTCACATTTGGGATATAGAGAATGAACTGGGCCTAGCTAGGGTGACTCAATGGATTGAGCGTTGTCCCATGGACTGAGAGGTCCTGGTTTGATTCCTGGTCAGGGCACATGCCCGGGTTTTGGGCTCCATCCCCAGTAGGGAGGGTGCAGGTGGCAGCCGATCCATGTTTCTCTTTCACATCAATATTTCTATCTCTTTCTCCCTTCCTCTCTCTAAAAAAAAGAAAGAGAATGAACTGGGGGAGTCATGGGTGGAGGTCAGGAGTCCACACCCTGTGAAGGAAGACAGCATGGACTGGTGAGGGAGGGAAGGAAAGAAGTGGATTGGATTTGTAAGAGGTGGGAGTCCACTCACCCCACAGGGTCAGGATATAGGGACCCCTGTCAGGGGTTGGGGCTGAGAGTCTAGAAAGAGTGATTGGATAGGGGTCAGCCTCACCTATTGCATGTTTCAGAAAGGACTGCCCTCTAATTCCTCCCATTTTTTTCTCCCAGAGGTGGTCGTGGGGACAGGACTGGCCGCTATGGAGCCACCGACCGTTCCCAAGACGATAGTGGGGAGAACCGCAGCCGGGACCATGATTACCGGGACATGGACTACCGCTCATACCCCCGCGAGTATGGCAGCCAGGAGGGCAAGCATGACTATGACGACTCATCTGAGGAGCAGAGTGCAGAGGTGAGGGCCCAGGGGGCCAGCCAGGCATGGTGACAGGGGGGTGAGGTGGGTGTGGCTCCTGCAGGGCCTGTGTCTGGCTGCAGGTAGCTTTCAGCTCCCGTGCCTTTGGACTGTGCTCAGTGGCTTTGCCTCACCTGGAGGGTCTGTCCCTACTCCCCTTCTGAGGGCTCCTCTCCCGAGTTGGGTCTCCCTGACTTCCATATGCTTGGCTCTGTACTTCTGAGGGCCCCTAGCCACCACCTCTCTCCCTTCTTCCCCAGCATTCAGTTTGGGTCCACAGTTCACTGCAAGCCCTGTGCTGCCTGCTCCCAGCCAAAATAGGGCTCCTGAAGAGCTTCTTATGTGGCACTCGGTATCTAGGGTTGGGAGGGCAACTGGGAAACTGATTATCGCCAAGCAAAGCAGCTCTGGGAGGCCAACCGTGGGCATTCCCAGTGGTAGCAGAGCCTCTAGACAGAGGGAAGGACCTCCTGAGGCCTCTCCTCTGCATTCCATGTTGGTAGTTAGTCCTAGTGTGAGGAGGAAGGCATGATGCTCACCATCAGGGAGCCCCCAGCTGAGGGGAAGAAGCAGTTTTGCCTTAGGGAAACCCCAGTTTCAGGGGGCAGTCAGGGCCCTGGTCTAAGCAAGCAGACAGCTCTCTTGTTCAGCAGGGTGGGAAGGGTACTCTTGCAGCCTCAGCCCTGGAAGGGTAGAGTGTTGGCTGCTGGCCTCCCTCTGGGGGTCCAATGCAGAGACTCCTATGATAAGGAGCCAAGCTTCCCCAGTGGCAGCTGGGTTGGGAAGAACAGGAGTAGAGCACTGAATTATCTGTCCCGCCCCCCCCCCCCAAAGGTGGGAGGGGTGCAGACTCAGGCCTGGCCTGCTTAGTCCTAGAAGAATGGGTTGGGCAAGACCCAAGAAGCCAATCAGCACACCCTATTGGGAGGGAGCCTGGTGATGATGGACTGGCCAGGCAGAGGATCAGGGACCAGGAGGCAGTGCTGTGGCCCTTGCACATTTGCTAGTCTCTGCTGGCTGGCTCTGACCAAGATCTTAAGCTATTCCTATACCCACAACTTGGTTGCAGGGGCCAGGGCCAGGCCCAGGCTGGGAATCACAAGTGATGTTTGGCCTTCTGTGGCATAAGGAACAATTGTGCACATACTAGCTGAGTTGGCTAGGGAGGAGGGGGGAGAAACAGAGGGCAGGGGTTCATGTGCCAACCTCAGACTATCTCTTCTCAAGGAGATTTAAGCAGTGTCTGGCCACCTCTCTGTGGGAGTTCCTCCCCAATACCAGCACTGCCACCGGCTTCTCCCCACTCCCCACCAAGGCAGCCCCAAAATCGTCCCAGGGAGAATTTCCAACCCCAGAAGAGTTGCAGCACAGGGCCTACCCACCCTGCCTCTGCCCCAAGTCTTTAGCCGGAGCCCGCCCACCCCTGGCTTTCAGAGCCTACCTGCCTCAGAGAGCCAGTGGCCAACCCCTAGGCCAACCCCAGACTGACTACCCGTCTGGTGTCTCTCATCTCATTCTGTTGGCCAGGATTCCTACGAGGCCTCCCCGGGCTCCGAGACTCAGCGTAGGCGGCGGCGGCGGCACAGGCACAGCCCCACCGGCCCGCCAGGCTTCCCCCGAGACGGCGACTATCGGGACCAGGACTATCGCACGGAGCAAGGGGAGGAGGAGGAGGATGAGGAGGAGGAGGAGGAGGAGGAGAAGGCCAGTAACATCGTCATGCTGAGGATGCTGCCACAGGCAGCCACTGAGGATGATGTACGTGCCCCCCATGGCCCCGGGCAAGTGGCAGAGCAGGAGGTCAGGCTGGGTTTCCTCCAGAGCCCTCAACTTCTCCCTCACCCCTACATCAGCACCTTTCATCCCTTCTTCCCACCGGCTCCTGTCTCCCAGCGCTGATTTGTCCTTTTGGCAGGCCTTGTCTCCTGGCCTGGAAGGGAGGAGCATAGTGTTGGATAGATTGGCTTCCTCAAGGGGCTGCCAGTAGTTGGTGTGGGAGGGAACAGAGTATTCTTCCTGCATATACCCCTGGTCTTTTGTCCATTCTGCATATGTTGATTGAGGGCCAGATGTTGGCCAGGCCAAATGCCAGGTATTGCTGGTGGCAGAGGTGATGCTGGTGGAGAAGGGTCCCCATGAGATTTTCTGAGGTTTTATTCTCACCCCTCCCCCTGCCCTCTTTTGTCATCTGCATCAAACCTCCTCACTGGCCTGGCCACAGAGTCTTGGGTTTTTCTTTGTGTGTGTGTTTTTTTTTTAAATCCTTACCAGAGGACGTGCTTAGAGAGCAGAAGGGAGTGAGAGAGAGAGAATGCTTAGAGAGAGAAAGGGAAAGAGAGATCAGTTGGTTGCCTTCCATACACACCCTGACTGGGGATCGAACCCACACTCTTTCTGTGCACAGGACAATGCTCAACCAGCTGAGCCACTGCGGCTGGGCAAGCCTTGGGTTTTTCTTTGACTTCCTTCCACTGCTGCTAACAGCCTCTGCACACTGTTTTCATTCGTGGTGTTCCCTTCCATCTTACTCCATTTTCTCTTGTTTCGTTCTATAGACTTCCCCTAAGGAGCCCCAGTAAAACCCCAAGAAGGCCACTGGAATAGCTTCCTTGATTCTCCTTCTCCCTGCCACCCCGCTTCCCTAAGAATTCTCTGCTCAGCTCTCCTGTGAAATCTGCCAGCTACCCTCAAGTCTGACCCACCTCCCCTGTTCCTGGTCAGACAGTAGCTGAGTGCTGACATTTCTTGAGGATTTATCACAGAGTGGGCCATACATCAGGTCTGATTTAATCCTCACAGCCACCCTTTGGAGAAGGTACTCTGTATTTCCATCCTATGGATGAGGCATCCAGGCCCCCAGTAGTGAAGCAACTTGCCCCAGTGAGTGGCAGAGCAGAGTTAGTGTCTGAAACCTGGCAGCTAGGCCACAGTGCCCAAATTCTTGCTGTTTCCTGAGCCCTTCCGTGGTTGTTTGCAGTCCTGATAAACTGCTCTGTGTGTCCTTTTTTATCTTTGTGTATGTGTGTGTGTTTGTTTAACCTCCTTTCTATTGTTTAACCTGATAAGGAAACAGGCCCAGAGGCATTAAGACTGCTGCCTGAGAATGCCCAGCACACATTCCTAGTCTTCTGCAAGAGGCACCACTGGCCTAGAGACCCTGCCACACCTGGTCCAAAACCCAGATTGCCTCTGCAGCTCCCCTCTGGCTTACTTCATTCAAGAAGCTTTGTAAACCTCACAACCACACCTTTTTCTCTCTACCCCAAGTTACTGTTCCACTCAGGTTCTAGGACACATGGCTTGGGTTTGCTTAGACCCCAGTCCTTCCCAGTTTCGTATTTGTGTCATGGGGTCTCTTTTGATGCAAGCAGAGAGCAGCCCCTTTGCTGAGACCCAGAATTGCATCCCAGCTTTCCTCGCTTTGTGGCTGCACCAAGCCTATTGTCAGACCACCCCTGCTCACCATTCTTGATCTGCAGGCTTGCTTGCTCTCTTATTCTCTGCCTCCAAAGGGTCATCATGCTGCCATGCTTCACCTTGCTCCCTGCCCTTTTCTTCATTTGACTCACTCTACAAATCTGGGGCTGAAAGCTGAGACTGGGTACTGGTGTGGGTTGGGGGCTCTGGTCACTTGGGGAAAATCCCTGAGAGAAAGAGGAGATGAGATGGTATGTGCACATCACTGATGGCCCCTTGGGGCCCTGGAGGCCTCCAGCTGGCCTCAGCTACCCAGCAGCCCCCTTGTGCTGAGCCTGCCCCAATCTGTATCTCCCCTTACAGATCCGTGGCCAGCTGCAGTCCCATGGCGTCCAAGCACGGGAAGTCCGGCTGATGCGGAACAAATCCTCAGGTGAGCTCTTGTTCCCAGTGCTTTCCCCTTCTGCTGGCCAGCCTCCGCCACCAAGTCTCCTCCTGCCTCTGCCTCTTCCACACCCTCCCTACCCTGCCTTCCTGCCACAGCTGGGAATGGGCAGCTTGGGGTACCCCTCTTCTCTTCCCCTCATCCCGTTCTCACAGCTCTGGCCAGCAGCTTCTTTCAAGGGGCTGTTGGGGAGGAGGTGCAGCTCTGAGCTGAGCTGAGCTTTCCCCAGGGGCAGGGCCAGGGCCAGGCTCCAGGGAACCTCTCTGGGACTCTGAGTGTCTGAGATGGTAACCCCCTCCCAATATACTCCCTTCCCTCTCCTTTCTTCTCCTTCCCCTGCCCTCACTTTCTCCCACATTTTTCTGGTAACAGCCTCTGACCAGAAAGTAGGTCTGGCATGGCCCCACCCATGTATCCCAAGAGGGGAGGCAGGGGATGGCTCTCATCCCAGGGCTCATCCCAAGGAGCAGCCAGATTTCTGGCCTCACTTGTCCCCTCCCTCCCTCTTATAGGCTGTTTGGAGTTGGCCTGAGGGTAGTTGGAGGTTTGGGGGGGGAGCTGTCTCTACAGGATCTCTGGCCCAGGCTCCCCAAGGCAGACACAGTGGGGCCTCACTCTGCCTGGGTTTGTCTCTCCATCTCAGTCTCTCTTTTCCCCACACCTTCATATCTATCTCTATCTCTATCATCTCTACCTCTTTCAACTCTCATCTCACCTCTCTCTCTCTCTCTATCTCCTCCCTCTCCCCCCTGCCTCTGTCATCAGACCATTCCATCCTCTTGTGCATCCTAATAGTTCTTCTCTTGGAGATCAAGCATGCACCCCCCCCCCCAAATCCTGTTGTGTCTAAGCCTTCCCTGTGTGTACACCTCCAAAGGTAGAGCTGCGTTCTGTGACCTCAAGCCCTGGGTCCCTTTCCTAGCCCTGGCCAGGCCTAAAGTCTCTCTTCATAGCATGCAGGTCTTGCTCTGCTTCACCCTAGCCAAACCACCCATGGCTAAGATTCTGGTCTCTCTCCCCACAGTAGTGTCCTGGGTTCAGCCTCCTCTGTGGCCCTGGGTACTTCTCCCAGACACCCACTGATTCATTAAGGTCTGCCTGGCCAGTCTTGGCCCCCATTCTCCTGCTGTCTAGGAGGACCTGGACTGTGGGTGGCTGTACAGTCTTGGCCCTGAGTTGACTCCCTCATGAGGCCCACCTCCCATGCACTGTGTTAAGGTTAAGGTGACATTGTGTCCCTAACTCTCCAGGTTCCTGATGGGCCCGGAGCCTTCCTAGCCTCACCGAGCAGCCCGGCCCAGCTTTTCTTTTGCTCCTTTTATTAAACACTGGTTACAGGGCCCTTCCTGGGCTCCCCTGGCCTTGAGCTGGGCCCTGCCCTTCTGTTATTTATTCTGGCCCATGTGGAACCAGCAGCCTGCCCATCTGCCCTCCTTTCTTCTCTGGAAATAGACCTCTACTTATACCCTTTCCCTCCCAGCTCCTTCTCTCCATCTCTGTCACCCCAGGCTGGCCTGAGCCCCATCTCTGTCTTTCTTCCCAGCTGGTGTGTATGTATTTTTTCTCACCCACCCACCTCTCTCCAGCTCTTTTTTCTTCCCTCCTCCTTCCCTCTTTCCTGCTCCTCCCAGCCATCTACCTTGCCTCCCACCCCATGGTCTTTCTCTCTGATTGCTTCTTTCTCTTCCTTTCTTCCTTTTCTCCTCTCCCCTTTCCCTCTCTGCCCCCATCCTCTCCCCTCGGGTCCCGCCCCCGGGAACGCCGTGTGTCCAAAGCTGTTGACTAACCCACTGCGTCTGTATCTGAATGCTGTCTCCAGGTCAGAGCCGGGGCTTCGCCTTCGTCGAGTTTAGTCACTTGCAGGACGCTACACGATGGATGGAAGCCAATCAGGTTGCTTTGCCGCACTTGAACCCCCCCCCAAACAAATACTACTTTGTAATCGAGCGCTCCCCATCGCCTGATTCTTATGGACACAGTTCCCTGCCCTGTGGCCCTGTGTCCCATCCCCCCGTCCCCTCTCTCTCCCCCTTCCTGACCCTCAATATCTCCTCTTCCCATCTCTCACTACCCACTGGGCTGCCCATCAAGAGCCCCCACTCACCACTTGCCCCTCCCTTGTCAGGCTCTAGCTCTGCCCCTCCACCTCTCCCGGCTGAGCTTTCAGAGAGAAGGCTACCAGGGAGGGTCTTCCACCTAGGTTCCCACTCCCGGGAGGACTGTCCTGCTCTGGGGTTAGGCAGAGCCAGTACTTCGTTCCACTCTCAGGCACCACTGGATCCAGCCATGGGGAACTTAGCTCTTGGCACACTAACTAGCAAGTCCCGTTTTGCCAGCTCTCCCCACATGTGAGTTCAGCCCTTTAATTCCCACGCAAGAGGCTAGCACTGCTCTGTTGATCTAAAGTACCAGTCAAGTGTGATAGTTTCATTCATCAGGACTCACCCAGCTGCCCCATTCCTTCCACTGCACCTACCCCCACAGGAATCACCACTTGCCCTACTCTGCTGTGGGCAGGCCTGCCCTCTCAGCAAGGAGCTGTGCTGCCAGGAAAGGAAGGGAGCCTGCTCCCCAAGTGTGGCACGGGCTCCCAAACTGGCAGCATTGGGACCTTCCGAGACCCAAGGGTCTGCTCTGCTTGCCCACCAAGAGCCTGGCTCACTGGTGTGCAGCGCTGAGGGGAAGCAGCATGGGAGGAGGGGCAGGTGTGCTGGAATGGGGCTCAGCAGGGCTGCCCCTGGGACCATCTATGCCGGTCCATAGGCTAGTGCCATGGGTCCAGGACCCATCAGCCACAGGAAGACAGCCTCCTAGCAGGAACTTCCATCTTTTCAATATGGCTCTTTCTTTTTCCCCTTCTCCAGCACTAGCGCGCGTGCACTCTCTCTCTCTTTTTCTCTCCCCTCCTTTCCCTTCCTTCCCATCCCCCCTCATCCCAAGTGTAGCCTATGTAGTGCTGGCCCTGGGTATGGCCTGGCAGTGTCAGGGCCGAGTAGGGGGGTTTTCCCCACTGTCAGGCAAGCATTGGTCAGCCGAGCACTGTGTGCCCGGTGGCTTGTGTTCACGTGTGCGCGTGTGCGCGTGCCCTGAAAAGGCAGCAAACAGCTGCGCCCAAAGGCTGTGGCGCTTTCCCTCCCTCCTTCCCTTCCTTCTTCCCTCGTCCGTTCTCCGACCTCCCTCCGTTCCCTGTCCCTCATCCATCCAGCTGAAGGGCTCGCTCACTCTCTTCTCCTGTACTGAAACGGTGCGTGGGGCACTGCTGCCTGGGCCTCACTTGGCTCTGCTTTTTCCCGCAGCACTCCCTCAATATCCTGGGCCAGAAGGTGTCCATGCACTACAGCGACCCCAAGCCCAAGATCAATGAGGACTGGCTGTGTAATAAGGTACAGGGGCGGTGGGCAACAGTTGCCATGGACTGAAACAGCAGCAGCAGTGGTGGCCACATCTCTGTCTCCCTGGGACCTCTGTGGTGGTGTGGAGGGCTAGCTCAACTCAAGTAGCCATCATTCCTTGCCACCCACCTACCCACCAATGTTTACTGAGCTTTTTATTTGGTACCAGGCTCTGCCCTCATGAAGCATGATCTTGCTGAAGTCCCAGTAGATGGTCCACAAATATTTACACAAATGATTAACTAGTGATAGTGGAGGTGTAACATGATTTGTAAAATGTGGACCTCAGAGCCAGACTGGCTGAAATTAGATTCTCCCCGATCTACCTTGATTTTGATCAGGGCCCTTAACCCCTCTCTGCCTCACTTTCCCATCTGTAAAATGCAAATAGTAATAATACCTCTCCCCAAAGGTGTTTGGGAGGATTAAAATGTGGTGATGAGAGGGTCACACTTGGAACAACAATTGGCCTAAAGTTAGCACCATTAATGCCAGCTGTTACTCTCAAGGAAAAGCACAAGGTATTCAAGAGCCTGTGTCAGGTGACTCAACCTTGAAGGCCACTCTGACAAAGCCATGTCCACCTGACACTGGGGATACAAGCTGTAGGCTTTTGCAGTCATATTCCTGAAGAAGTAGTTAAGGTTCAAGAGAGGTAGAACCTTGGATAAGCCTTGAGCCATGACTTGCTCCTGATTACAGGTGCCATGGGTTCAGGTCTCCCCTGGGGCCAGCCTCACAAGCAGCCCTAAGGCGCAGCCCTGAGACCTAAGGGGAGGATTGAAAGCATGTGGAGGCCCCAACCCCAATAAGAATTCTGCCTAGTAATGGGGTTGGGACCTGCTTGTTCAAAAAATAAATAAAACTAATAGCAGAGGGCAGGTATCCACTGGCTCTGGAAAGGTAGAGGCAAAGTGACAGTGGAGTTCCATACCTCATATATTTTCAGATACTCCTCAAAACCAGGGAATTCTTTACTTTCCTCTTAACCCCTCATATCCTGTAGGTTACCGGGTCCTGTCACTTTCATTATAGAAATACCCTCCCTAGCCATTCCCACTGCACAGGCCAGTCCTCCCCCACTTCCCCAGACAGTCACCACGGACCCCTCGCTGGCCTCTTGCCTCTTTCTCCCACCCTCTCACCTATAACATTCCTCAGAACCACCTCTGACCATGTTCCTTCTTTGCCTAAAACCCCCATAAGTCTGAGCTTAAGTGGGACCATCCTCCTTAATCTAGCATCACCTTTCCTCTCTAGCCTTGGCTTTTGGCCTCTCTCCTCACTCTTCTACACCAGCTACGGAAGACCTCATTTCCTATGTTAGCAATTGTTTCCCAGTAAAACCACACCAAACCAAACTTCTGGGTCTCCCCAGATCAAATGTCCCTGCTAACTCTCCCAAGCCAAGTGACTAGTGCCCCTCTTGGCCTACTGCCTTCTCCAGGCCCCTGTTAGTGACCATATCCAGAGACTAACCTGCCCCTTGGTGCTGCTGGTAGGCCATAAGGGCAGAGGCCACATCCTGGGCATGTGGGGCAGAGCCTGGCACAGGAGCAGTGCTCAGTGCATGACCTTGGAACAGAGAAGTGTGGAAGCTGAGGGGTCTCTAGAGGCAGATTTCTTGAGAGCAGCAGGATCCAGCCCAGTTCTTGAGATGAAGGGGTGGAAATCTGGCAAGAGAAAGACTCCTGGCATTTAGAGATAGAAACATTAGAGGTTTCTGAACAGGGAAGCAAGTTTTGGGAAGAGGAACCTACTAAAGGGACATTGTCGGGGAGAGTCCTGGGAGTTGGTACCTTGGAGGAGGCAGCAGTTTAATGGGTAGTAAAATTGTTGATTCCTGAGATGGGTTGGCACTGAGGACAAATTTGAAACCATGTAAAGGGGAGATTCACAGTCCTGAGAATGACAACCAGAGCCCTCCTGCCTCCCCTGATTTTGGAACCCTCATTCCCTGGGACATGGCGGGGTTCCCTGGGGGATCCAAGTTTGGAGGGCATAATGGAAAGCCCCACCCCCTCTGACGACTTGGCCTGTGCCTCACAGTGTGGCGTCCAGAACTTCAAACGCCGTGAGAAGTGCTTCAAATGTGGTGTGCCCAAGTCAGGTGAGGCCCTCATGCCTCTCCCTCCCCAGGACGTTGGTGGGAGTGGGGAGAAGGGTGAGGGGCCAGTGCTGTGGGAGGAGGGTGACTAGCCATGGAGCCTCCCCTCTGTCACTACCCTATCTTCTGCCTCCCCTGACAGAGGCAGAGCAGAAGCTGCCCCTGGGCACAAGGCTGGATCAGCAGACGCTGCCACTGGGTGGACGGGAGCTGAGCCAGGGCCTGCTCCCCTTGCCACAGCCCTACCAGGCCCAGGGAGTGCTGGCCTCCCAATCCCTGTCACAGGGCTCAGAGCCAAGCTCGGAGAACGCCAACGACAGTGAGTCATTTGTTTGTTCCTTCCTCCTCCCTGCCCTAGGGTATCTGGGCTGGGCTCTCCAAGGCAAGAAAGATGGTGGTAACCAGGATTTAGTCCTCCCAGGGATCTCTGACTAGTTGGGGGACAGGTGATATAGGGAGAGCAGGAGAGGAGCATGACCCGACTTGACTTTGGGGGTGCGTTGGAAGTTCTTGGCAGGTGAGTGACTGAACTGGGACTTGGAACTGACAAGCATAGTTTTTCCAGGAGGAAGAAGTGAGAGGAAGCAGCAGGTGTAAAGATGTGAAGGCCAGAGGAGGAGGAGAGGGAGCAGTGGGGAGCCACCAGAGGGTAGGGCTGGAGCAGAGTATCAGGGCTGCCCCCTAATGCTGGGCCCCTTCCCACAGCCATCATTTTGCGCAACCTGAACCCACACAGCACCATGGACTCCATCCTGGGGGCCCTGGCACCCTATGCAGTGCTATCCTCCTCCAATGTTCGAGTCATCAAGGACAAGCAGACTCAACTGAATCGTGGCTTCGCCTTCATCCAGCTCTCCACCATCGTGGTGAGGGCGGCACAGGGGGGGCCGGGCAGCCAGGGTCCCGGCCCCCGGGGTGGGGAGGGGGGACCCTGACCCCAGCCCCCACCGCGGCCCCCTGTCTGGCAATGGGGCAATGGAGCCGGGGACCTCCCCGGGCCTGACCCTTCTGCCCCTGCCTCCCCTCCTCCCCCAGGAAGCAGCTCAGCTGCTACAGATCCTGCAGGCCCTGCACCCGCCGCTCACCATCGATGGCAAGACCATCAACGTTGAGTTTGCAAAGGGTTCTAAGAGGTCAGGGTCCCACCTGTGTCCCTTCCCAGCTTGTCCCCCAACTGGGGGCCCCCCATCTCACTCCCAGTGTCTGACATCCTCCCCAGGGACATGGCCTCCAACGAAGGCAGCCGCATCAATGCTGCCTCTGTGGCCAGCACTGCCATTGCTGCGGCCCAGTGGGCCATCTCACAGGTACTCAAAGACTCTTCTCCGCCCCAGCATCTGGATACCTGGGCCACCTCAACCCTCTTGCACCCTCTCTGCGAACAGGAGGGCTGGCTTGCTATTTTGGCTTTCCGTGGACCCAAAACCCTCTCACCGTGGCTGCCATGGGCTCTGGAGCCTTGCTCCCTTCCTGATCACCTCCCAGGCTTTCATTTTCCATGCCATTGTGGCTGGTTTTCTCTCCTGTTTGGCGGTTATCTTATCATCGTGAATTATTACAACTTTTTTAATAAAAAGGAATTTATAAGTGGCTAAAAAGAAATTGGGAAATGACACTAAAGAAGGGGAGGAGGATCTTTCCCTTGGTCTGATGCCCAGCACACGTACCACACGACAAACATACCAGCGTCAGCCCCGGGAGCGTTTTGGCATGCATCCTTGTTGCTGTCTTGTTTTTGCTGCTGCCCTGTTCTGCTGTGGCCAGGCAGCCCTCTTGTCTCACTTGTCTGAGGGCTGCATGCTTTCTGTCGGCAGACACTAGCTTTACCTGTGGGCAGCCTCTTCTTAGTAGGTTACCCCCCCATGATCCCCTCCTCTGCTAATGAGCCCCTCCCACCTGCCCCTCAGGCCTCCCAGGGTGGGGAGGGTGCCTGGGCCACCACTGAGGAACCATCGGTCGACTACAGCTACTACCAACAGGATGAGGGCTATGGCGGCAGCCAGGGCACAGAGTCCTCCCTCTATGCCCATGGCTACCTCAAGAGCACCAAGGGCCCCGGCATCACTGGAACCAAAGGGGACCCAGCTGGAGCAGGTGAGCCCCAACATCTCTCAATCTCATGTGGGGGTTGGTAGGCACAGGGTCCTGGGCCCCACCATTCACAGGCGTTCTCCTCCCTGTCCCTCTTTACAGGTGCTGAGGCCTCCCTAGAGCCTGGAGCAGACTCTGTGTCACTGCAGGCTTTCTCCCGTGCCCAGCCTGGTGCCACCCCTGGCATCTACCAGCAGTCAGCAGCTGAGGCGAGTAGCAGCCAGGGCACTGCTGCCAACAGCCAGGTGAGGGAGTTCGAGGGAGATCCTGGGGGGAGGGGGACACAGTGGGCATTAGCAGACATTGAGCCCTGTTCCCTGTCTGGCCCCATGACCAGTCATACACCATCATGTCACCTGCTGTGCTCAAATCTGAGCTCCAGAGCCCTACCCATCCCAGCTCTACCCTGCCACCAGCCACCAGCCCTACCACCCAGGAGTCCTACAGCCAGTACCGTGAGTAGCCCTGGCCTGTGGGTGGGCAGTGGGGAGTTCCTTAACAAAGCAGGGAGGGGTTTGACACCCCCCTTACCATCCCCCAGCTGTTCCTGACGTCTCCACCTACCAGTATGATGAGACATCTGGGTACTACTATGATCCTCAGACTGGCCTCTACTATGATCCCAACTCCCAGGTGATGGGGCAGCCCAGAGAGTGAGTGGGGTCTGCGTTTCCCTTCTTGAGGTCCTCCTTCATGATCCCTCTCTATCCCCCCACCTCAGTATTACTACAATGCTCAGAGTCAGCAGTACCTGTACTGGGATGGAGAAAGGCGGACCTACGTTCCTGCCCTGGAGCAGTCGGCCGATGGGCATAAGGAGACAGGGGCACCCTCCAAGGAGGGCAAAGAGAAGAAAGAAAAGCACAAGACCAAGACGGCCCAACAGGTGAACTCACTGAGGTCCAGCAGTCACCAGCTGGCTGTTCTAAGTTTTCTGATGACTGCACTTCTTTCGTCTATTATCTTCCCTGCTGAGGGAGCAGGGTGTGGCTGGATGTGTACGTGGGCAGTAATTTTGCTTAAGGGAGACCAGGCTTCTGATCTATCTCTGTTCTTTGCTGCATGACCTTGAGCCAAGGCAGTCTCCTCAGTATAGGGCCATATACCTCCCTGAGGTGGCCAGTGCCATCCATGTGAACTTTGTCAGCTTTCCTGTCCCCCAGTGAAACCCTCACACTGCTGGTGGGAGTGTGACGGGCTGGTGTGGGCATGCATACTTCTTTGGGCTCATACCACTCATGGGGGTGTGTCCATGTCCACATGTAGATATGTTCCAGAGAACTTCTCTCAGGCCCAGCAGGGGGCAGGCAGGAAAATAGCCATTGCTGTGTTCTGTGTGGTGGGCGGTTGGAGGGATCCTCAGTATCTGTCAGTAGAAGAAGAGTATGACTGTCTGTAGCGTTTAGAAGCAAGAACTTGAGAGTCTGGTAAATTCTAAAAATGGTGTTGTGTATGGGGGGGCAGTGTAATATAGAATATGGCAAAGTGTCACACATGTAAATAAAAATTATAGAGAAAGCCATCCTATGCATTTTAGAATAACAAAATGAAAACACACAGGGGATGTAATAGTGTAGGTGCCTGTCAGGAGAATGGGGGCACAGCCAGAGAGAGGCTTGATGAGCATCAATGACAGTATGACAGAGAAATAGGAACTTTCAACACCCACCTCTCTCATCATCTGCTTGAGGTGCAGGGCAGGATGGGGCGGACTGCTGCAGGGGCAGTGGGCAGTGGATGGAGTTAGGGGGTTTCTGAGAGCTTCACCTCATCCTCACCCTTAGATTGCTAAGGACATGGAACGCTGGGCCCGCAGTCTCAACAAGCAAAAAGAAAACTTCAAAAATAGCTTCCAGCCCATCAGCTCCCTGAGAGACGATGAAAGGCGGGAGTCAGCCACCGCAGATGCTGGATACGCCATCCTAGAAAAGAAGGTGTGTTGTGGCCACCCATCCATATCCCTTACCCCCATCTTGTCATCCCTCCAGTCCCTCTGTGGAATCCCTGAATTTGTGTCCCTCCACCCCAGGGAGCATTAGCTGAGAGACAGCACACCAGCATGGATCTCCCAAAACTGGCCAGTGATGACCGCCCAGTGAGTGTCTAGGGCAGGGAGAGGGGCAAGGGGGCTCTAATATTGCCAGGCCTGACCTTCCATGCCCTCCCACCTTTTACAGAGCCCACCTCGAGGGTTGGTGGCAGCCTACAGCGGGGAGAGTGACAGTGAGGAGGAGCAGGATCGAGGGGGCCCAGAGAGGGAAGAGAAGCTCACTGACTGGCAGAAGCTGGCCTGTCTGCTCTGCCGTCGCCAGTTCCCCAGCAAGGAGGCGCTCATCCGGCACCAGCAGCTGTCCGGGCTCCACAAGGTGACTGAGGGAGGCTTGGCAGGGAACCTTGGTCGGGCCTGGTCTGGCCCAGCCTAGCCACTTCACTCCTCCTGTCCTTTTGCAGCAAAACCTTGAGATTCACCGGCGAGCCCACCTGTCAGAAAATGAACTAGAAGCACTTGAGAAGAATGACATGGAGGTGAGGTGTGACCCACTCCTAGGCTCCATCTCCTCTGTCCCTTGCCAAGTGTCCGTCCCCTCAGGCAGCTGGTACTCAAGTTCTTTACCTAAGTACAGCCTGGCTGCCATCAGCTCTTATGTCCTGTCCCTGTGAGGCTTTTTCCTAATTCCCCCACGCTGGCTGCTCACACCTACAATGTCCTGCCTGACTAACCTGGATCTGACTAACCTCATACCTGTTAGTCAGATCCAGCTCTCCGTGGGACCCCCCACACACCTATCTATGCCCATATATCCTGCCAATAGTGACCAGCTCCCCAATTCTTTCACACACAAACTTTTAGCAAATGAAGTACCGAGACCGTGCAGCTGAACGCAGAGAGAAGTATGGCATCCCTGAGCCACCAGAGCCCAAGAGGAGGAAGTATGGTGGCATGTCTGCAGCTTCTGTGTGAGTGCCCAGGGCCAGGTGGGGGGCCTGGGGCTGGCAGGCCAGTCACTCACACTGTACTACTGTCCCCTGCAGAGACTTTGAGCAACCCACTCGGGATGGTCTGGGCAGTGACAACATTGGCAGTCGCATGCTCCAGGCCATGGGTTGGAAAGAAGGCAGTGGCCTGGGCCGTAAGAAGCAGGGCATTGTGACACCTATTGAGGCGAGTCTCCCATGATCCCATCCCGTCCTCCAGTTCTCTCTGCTGCAGACCTGTCTTGTCCCCACCCCCCACTCCCCACTCTGACAGAACTTGCCTTCCTCATACAGGCCCAGACACGAGTGCGGGGCTCCGGCTTGGGTGCCAGAGGCAGCTCCTACGGGGTCACCTCAACCGAGTCCTACAAGGAAACACTGCACAAGACAATGGTGACCCGTTTCAACGAGGCCCAGTGAGGATCTGCAAGAGCTACTTCTGCAAATGTTGGTGTCCAGCCTGGGGCAGGGGAAAATGAAATGTTTAGTGGTCTGAGCAGGACCCTGCACCTGTCCACCAGCCCAGTCCCCAGCCAGACAGGCCCTGACGAAGTCAGACTTGGAGTTGGTGACTTGCTGGAAAACTGGGCTAGCATCACATTCTTTTTATAATAAAAGGTGAAAAGTTCACAGCTTGCATGTCTCTTTCTCATGTCCCAGCATCGTTTGTGGTCCACACAGACAGGGGCATAAACACAGATAGAGAAAGGGTCTTGCCCTGGTCGTTTTGGCTCAGTGGTAGAGCGTCAGCCTGCAGACCAATGAGTCTCAGGTTCAGTTCCAGTCAAGGGCACATACCTCAGTTGTGGTCTGTCCTCAGCCCTGGTTGGGGTTGTGTGGGAGGCAACCAGTCAATGTGTCCCTCTCACCAATGTTTCTCTCTCCCTTTCTCTCCCTCCCACTCTGAAGATAAATAGAAAAATATCCCCGGGTGAGGATTAGAAGAAAAAGGGCCTTGTCAGGCTGAGGTGGGTAGCAGTAGTGATAATCAGTGTCTGATACTTAGTAACTACCAGCTCAGGGGCAGGCAGAACATGGGGTTCTGGGCTGTGTCCCAACCCACAAGATTCTGGTCACAGCCCTTCATCATTATCACGGCCAGAAGGTCATGCTGTACTAAGAAATCCAGCACCACTAGGGCACTGTCAGGCTTTAAGTCCCCCTGGGTCAGAGCCAGGATTTCGAATACCCCATCCCCTGGCCTTGCCACCCCACAGTGGCATTAGACTAAATTGCACTTGGCCCTCCCTGGGTCTGGGGACAATGCTCTAGGGCATCTCCAAGTGGATGACAATAAGCAATCTGGCACCGGTAGGCCCTGTGCCCTCAAGGGGCTGATGACCCAAAGGGGTGGAGAGAGAAGCTTGACCTGCCAATCCCAGGTCCCAGGAATGCCCACCAGAACTATTTGCATCCACCCTTGTCCCCATCCTCTTCAGGGCCGTTACCATAGGGCCCCAACAAGAGTCCTCATATATGGCCAACAGTACTAAATGGCACAGCCACTCTGGAGAACTGGCTGTTTCATATAAAGGTAAGCATACACTTATCCTAAGACTTAGCAATCCCATTCTTAGATATTTACTCCAAATAAATGCAAACATGTCAAAAAATTATTTTATGTGTATTCATAGCAGCTGTATTCATAATAGCTAGCCAAAGACTGGTAATAACCTGAACATCCAACAAGAGGAGAATGGATAAATTATGGTCTATTCATATAATGGAATACAACTCAGCGATAAAAAGGAACAAAATACTGATACAAACAATATGATTGAATCCCACAAACATGTTGAGGGGGAAAAGGACACAAAGAATGTAGACTGTGAGTCCACTTATGTGGAGTTCTCAATCAGATGGAACCCATTTACAGTGACAGCAATCAGAGGGTGTTCACTGGAAAGGATTGCAAGGTCACTTTCTGGAACAATTAAAAGGTTCCATATCCTTTTTTCTTTCTTTTTATTTATTAAAAATTGATTTTTAGAGAGGAAAGGAGAGGGACAAAAACATCCATGTGAGAGCACAACATTGGTGGGCTGCCTCCTGCACCCCCTTTACCCGGGATAGAACCTGGAACCCAGGCATGTGCCCTTGGCCCGGAATCGAACTAGCAATGTGTGGGAAGATGCCCAACCAACTGAGCCTCAAAGGTCAGGGCTTTTTATTTATTTAATCCTCATCGGGGGATATGTTTTGACTGATTTTAGAGCGAGAAAAAGAGAGAGAGAGATCATTGCCCTGTGTTCCCTGACCAGGGATAAAACCTGCAACCTACATATGTGCTCTGACTGGGAATCAAACCCGCCACCTTTTGGTGTATGAGAGGACGCTCCAACCGACTAAGCCGGAACAGGGCAGGCTCCATATCGTGACTAGAATGCTTCTTCCTCACTCTCGCCACTTCCGCCATCTTAGTGCGATGGCCTCATCACTTCTTCGCTTTTCCACTGGTTTTTCTGCTTCCGCCTTTCTCCTCAGTTTGTTCTCTCTCCACAAAGAGCAGCAAGATAGTTTATATAGTATGAGTCCTTTCTACCGATCTTAGAATAAAAAACAAATATCTCTGTCTGGCTTACAATAATACCCTACTTGACATGTCCTCCATTTTATCTCGCAGTGCTCTCCCTCACGCCTTTCCAGTTACACAGAATCCCGTGCTCTTCCTCAAACACGCCAAGGACTTCCAACCTCAGGGCTTTGCACCTGATATTCCCACTGTCCGAAATGGTCTCCCCCGTGTTACATGTGGCTGTGGCTCGCTTCCTCACTTTTCACTTGCTATCTTCTCCGAGAGGCATTCCCTGACTACTTTACAGGGGGTATCAGGGGAGGTCTCTTTGAGGTGAGGCAAAGTATAAATGAGAAGGGAAAGATCTGATGGAAGAGTGTTTTGCTTCCTTTTCCACCCGCGAGAGCACCACTCCCGGAATTCCACAGTTCAGGTTTACTTTTTCCAATACCCTGGCCGCGGATGCTCACCACGTGCACCAGGCACCGGCCGGACCGGACTACTACCCCCAGCATGCCTCGCGCTTTCAGGAAGAACCACAGCTTGTAGGGGTGTTTGGGTCTGACACGGCCGCGGATGGCGCAGGAGCAGGGACGGACGCCCCTCTAGCTGAGTGGCTGTGGTACATTCCAACCGAGGCACTCCAAGGCCCCGCGCTTTCGAGCTCCGCGCAAACTCTGGCTCTTCTTGTGCGACGGAGGAGCTGGTTTGATCTTCCGTTGCCCCGTGGCGTCGGCTCATCTCCAGCAGGAAGGCGAGGCTTCGCTCGACGCAGGGGGTGAGTTTGAGTACGGTGTCTCCAAGCCCCTGGCTAGCATTTGAGGGAGGGGGGTTTCTGTTTCGGGGATCCCCCCCAATGGGCATATTTGGAGGCTCTGGGCCCGGGGTGGCTTTTAGGGGAGGCTGTTTTGAGAGGGACCCTTAGGAAGTGGTCTTTGGGGACTCCAGGGTGGGATGTGGGAGTGTTTTAGGGAGTATCCCTTGGAGGCAGGATTTGTATACTCCTCCGAGACAGGGTTTAAGGGGATGTTTGAGGAGACCCTTAGGGTCTATGTATGAGTACTCTGTTCATGGGGCAGGATTTGGGGTGCTCCTTAAGAGGTAAGCGAAGTTTGATGTTCCTGAAGTCAAGGCGAAATTTTGGAACGGCTTGTTCCAGGAGCGGTCCTGGTGACTGTGGGAACGTTTGGGACCAACGTGGCATTGTGAGGGTTATCTGTGGCCTTTGTGACCTCTGGTTATATGATGCGGTCCCTCCCCCCTCGCGCCCCCCCCCCCCCCGTGCTTGGGGACCCGGGGCGGAAAGACTGGAGACATCGAGGCCCACAAATTGGTAGGGAGATTAGCCCCTGGCCCATACTGTGGAGGGTATGCTGGAGCCCTAGGCGCTTCCCGAGGGGACAGGGTGCCACCGGGCCTTGGTTAGCGGCTTTATCCATTATTCATGAGGAGGTGGGGCTGTGAGGAAGTCATTTTTTGCCTCTTTTGCACCTAGTCCGCTGGAAGTATGGCTTGTGAATTATTCAAGAGGGGCGGATCAGCATGCTGAAGGGGCGTTCTACAGTCTGTCTGGCAAACTAGAACTCATTGACTAATCGTAAAGGTGAGTAGCTCCCCGAGTTTTCTGTAGCTTTTCTAGGGGTATTGTGCATAATTCATGAGGGGCGTAGCTTTCATGGCTTTATCTGCATGATCCACTGTTAGCTTTCCCTTATGCTCCAGGATTTAAACCTTTCGTGTAAGAAAGGGACGTGTAAGAAAGGGACGAAGCCTCGAGGCCTCATGCATAGTTCATTCTTTATAAGCCCAGTGATCCCAGATTATCAACAAAGGCTCTAGATTCAAATCCTGTTGATCTTTGTCCACTGTGTGATCTTTGGCAAATCTTTCTGTGAGCCTGAAAAATGAATGTGGGCAAAATGATGATCACATTAGTTTACACTCATTTAGCACTTTGTTAGCCCATTTAATCCCCACAACAGTACTGGGAGATAGCTTATTATTATCACATTTTATAGATGAGGAAACTGGGACACCAGGAGGGTAAGTAATTTGCCTACAGTTACAGTGGCTGAGCCAGCATTCAAACCTAGCCAGTCTAGTTCCAGTCTGTAGTCTTTTTCTTTTTTATCCTCACCCAAGAATATTTTTCCATTTATCTTCAGATAGAGTGGAAGGGAGGAGAGAGAGACATCAACATCAACGTGAGAGAGACACAGTTGGTTGCCTCCTGCACTACCCCAACCAGGGCCAGGGACGAACCGCAACCGAGGTATGTGCGCTTGACTGGAATCGAACCTGGAACTCATTGGTCCGTGGGCTGATGCTCCAACCACTGAGCCAAACCGGCCAAGGCCAGTCTGCAGTCTTAATCAAATGTTATAATCGTGCCCCCCATTTAATGGTACTACTACTAATGTTAGTCATGTAGTACAATGTGCCAGGCACTGTTTTAAGCCTTTTCTACATACTTACTCATTTAAACTCCGTGACAAGGTAGGTTACTATTCTCATTTTATGGGTGGGGAAACAATGGCCCAGATAAGTGAGGTGTCTGGCCCCAGGTCACACAGCTAGTAATCAATGGGTAGAATGATTTTTGTGAGGGTTTAAGAAATCTCTAAGGAGGTCACCTTTGAGCTGAGACCTGAAGGACAAGAAGGAACCAATTTCCTGATCAGTGGCACAATGCACAGAAAGGAAACACCACAGGAGCCACCATATCTATTAATGGGATCTATTGTTTTTCGACAGTGTTGGGTGCTTATTGTGTGCCTGGGGTTTGGTGATCTGGTAGTCTGTCCTACCTATTTAATGTACATTGGTAGCCTTAGTATTCTAGTGCCCTTCTGGGACGGTATTTTTTTTTTTTTTTTATCCTCACCCAAGGACATTTTTGCATTTATCTTCAGACAGAAGGAGAGAGGGAGGAAGAGAGAGAAACGTCGAAGTGAGAGAGATACATTGAGTGGTTGCCACCCACATGACCCCAACTGGAGCTGGGGACAAACTGCAACCGAGGTACATGCCCTTAGTGCACTGGTTCTCAGCCTTCCTAATGCCACAACCGTTTAATACAGTTCCTCATGTTGTGGTGACCCCCAACCGTAAA